ATGCATGTTTTGGAATTCCTGCTTCATTGAAGGAATATATACTATCACTTGTAACCTTTATTTCAACAGAGATTCTCTTGAGATGCTGTGTAAACCTCCCCATTTCCTTACCTCCATTTTCTACACATCCCTAGTATTAGACCCCCATGCTTTAACTGTGGCATCTGTTATTTCCTTTAATAAGGATACTTGGATGATGTGTTAGCCTTCAGCTAGAAAAATACTCAGTAAAGATTGTTTTTAGAAAATGTTAATTGTTCCACATAAAAGATGCAATCATGTTGTACTGTTCCTTTAGAATAAATTAATGTGCTTAGTAGTGTAATCATGTTGAACCAGATGCTTACTTGAGGGAACAAAGTCTCTGTAGATTTTAATTTACCTTCTAGTTTCTTTATGATGTTTGAGAATTTTGTTTCACTGCATTGAAGCTAGTCCTTGAAGTAATAAGTCAATCTTATGTATAATATGTTTGCAGTAAATGAGTAAAATGGATGATCTCCTTTCTTAGAAACGTGCCTTTAAGGAAAACCATTGCAAAAGTCTGAGAATGTCACCTGAGTGTTATTTTAGTGTTAGAGGCTAGAAGAGTGGCTGCCTTTCCTTAAAGAGTAGAAGAGGTAATTTTTTGATAAGCAGAAGATGTTTATTTTGTTGCAGTAGTTCAGCCTGTAAGCAGCAGATGCTTGCTGTGCTTAGCAGTAATAACATCAGTAAATGGTAGGTTCCTCCAGGCTGTTAAAATTAGCAACCTGAATAATCTAGCAAGTACAAGTAGCCTCTCTCTTTCATTCCTGTGTTCTAATCTTTCCCATCTTATATTAAGTAAGAGTACAGTTATAGCTTACCAACAAGTTTCTTTCCCAGTATTTCTATAAATACAGTAAAGCTGTCTTGTGAAAAAGTTGATTAAAAGGCCTACATTTGCTAGTGAGGTAATACAATGGGCATCTTAAAATGTTACAGGAGATTGCTAGGTGCTGTGATGCTGTTGGGAATCCAAATTCTTTAAGAAGCCTGAAGGAAATTGAGAAGACTGACTTGTATATATGTTAAGGGAAGCTCTATGACAAAAAGAGGAGTTAGGATGTTACTTGCATGTACATTATGTGCTGCAGATGGAAATTATGTCCCTAATGCTTAAAATAATGTCACAGTCCTGACTTAAAAAGTGCTTATGAAAACCATAGAGGGTATGTGGACAAAATACTTAAGTAAAAACTATCCCTGTATTGACTGGCTGACTGTTCCATGGTTATCTGTTTTTTTCAGACACTGCATTATTCTTTCAGCTAGTGAGAAGTTATACTGGGCTTAGTCCTGAACAGCGTACAGGATCTTGTTTTAGATACATGAGAGCTGGAGGTTTTTTTGTGACAGTGTTCCTATAACTTTATCTGAGCTAAGATGTTTACAAAATGCAAACTCCTGTAACATTAAGTTTTAAAAAAGCATCTCTGTTTTGAGAAGCTTCTTCAGGTGTAAACCAGAAGATAAAATGCCACAGTGGTTGTACTACCTTATGCTGACTGTGAGTATAGCATTGATTCTTATCCAGTAGGACATAGACCAAGAAGATGATCTTTTAGAAATTGAATTAAGGAAAACTGGAAAGAGCAAGCAAAACAGAAGTCTTTTAAGTCAGAGGGTTAAGAACTGGTTTGCCACATGCATTAAGGCCTGAAAGTCGTGCACATCAAAAGCAAGAAACTTGACAGAGTCAGTAGGGCTCAGAGAGAGACGTGAAAGGGCACCAGGGGGAACACAGACCATGTAGCAAGAACTAAGTGAACTAATTGCTTTCTGTCAGAGAAGGACTTCAGAGACTTAAGAAAGCTTTGACTCCAGGCAACTGCAGTTTTAAATTTCAGTAAGAGTTTAAATCGAGTCAGCAGAATAATACATGCTTATACACCCATGTCTTGTGCTATGTGCCAAAGAAGTTCAGGGGAATTAGCCATGAGTGTGGCTTGAACTCTAAATGAGCTTTGATATCTAGACTTCTGCTGTTGTCCTGTGCAAATTGAAGCATTAAACCAAGTACTGCCTTGCCAGTGTGAAGTAGAAAATATGAACCTGACTTCATACTAAAGAGCAGATGAGGGAAGGACATGTAGACTAGTGATGAGTGATACTCTTCTAAGTCTTTCATAACGTGGTTAACAATTGTGACTGTGTTAATCATTGGAAGAGAGGCTCAGTGGGGCATCAAAGTTGAGATTACTTGTGGGTTGGCTGTTTTCCTGAGCTCACTGATGCACTGGGGCTGCTTTTGAAAGGCTGTGCTGTGTGTGGTAGAGGTTGTGATGGAGATGGTTCCCCTTTTATTCTTTTCCCTAATACAGGATGGCTACTGTAAATGCATTTTTTCCGCAGAAATGTCTAGATCTCCTGAAGTGGTTGGATAGTGCTGATAGCATAAAAACCCAGAACTTCTTGCATGACCAAACATAAAGAAAGGATCTAGTACATGTTTTGATTAAGGTAGTTGTGTCTCACAGGTCTCATTTTCTTGAAGGATTTATTGTTAATCCATATTCCTGTGTTCCGTTGATAACATAACTTGTGGATTTTTTTTTTCAGAAGAATGTTTAAGATTCTTTTTGAAGACTGTAAAAACCAAACATTTACAGGTTTGCTGGGTTAGCTCTTAGAAATAACCAAAGGAAAGAATAAATTATTTGCTTTATAATAAGGGGAAGTTACAAATAGAAGTAGTCAAGACTGTTGCTCGATATGTTCATAAATACCTGGAGGGAAGAAACGAGTGAGAAAAGGATAGAAAGGATAATAGAAAGCTAGAGCTGACTGTAGACAGACACCGTGGGAGTTCATTGTTCATTAGATTATAAAATTGCTGGTAAAATTAAATTCTAGTAAATATAGAATCGTGACTGAAGAAAAATAATTCGGGCTGAATGCACACAGTGAGTGGGCTCTATGTTGATAATTTTGTTCAGAAAATACTTTGAAGCTCCTTCATTATGGTTTCTTTTAAAGAGCAGCTATGTGCTCAGGTACCCTCAAGTAGCAATATTCCCAAGTGTAGGGACAACAAAATGAAAACAGGTGTGTTCTGGACTGAATGGCAGAATGACGTGTTGACTCTGTGTGTCTTTCTGCCCACCTGTCAGAAAACGTGGTGCCAATGGAAAACATGCCTAAGGAGGTTAGCAGTGATCAAACTCTGGGCTTCCTCTTGTCAAAGGAGACAAAAACCTGTAAGGATTAGTCACTTGGAAAACTACTGGTGGATAGAGATAAATGGATTGAGAGCCTGAGAAGTCTTGTGTTTTGAGGTGAACTGCCAGTAAAAACTCTTTTTTTTTTTTGCCCCAGGAAAAAACATCAGATAAAATCATTACCAGGCAGCAGTTTAAAATAAAGCACTCTTGATTCTGATGCATACTTAAATTCTCATTGAATGCCACAAATAACAAAGTAGAAATGGACTAAAAAACCTGGAAAAATCTATGGAATGAAGTTCTTTGAGCTAATAGGTATCAGGTTGGGATTCACCCTAAACATATGCCGGCTGAAATTACTGGAGGCTTGGAAAGATTGCTGCCCCTTTGTTTTTCTTGCCTTTTCTTGCTTTCACCCTCTATCTGCCTACTGCAGATTATTATAGGCAGAAGAATAGGAAATCTTTAGGCTATCCCCATTGCTGTTAGGTGTATTCAAGTATTTTATTCATTGGTCTTTTTGTCTTGGAAAGGTGGGAAAAAAGCATACTTTCTATAAACAAAACAAGAGCATGTTAGTTTGTATTTTCTGTCTTGCTCTAAAATTTTGGAATCAAGTGGATTCATCAGCAAATTGAAATGTTAGTCACATCTGCTGTGTAGTTAAATGTTCAGTTGTGGGTCCAAGCTCAGTTTAAGAAAAGAGAAAGGGCAAACAGTAATTCAAAATATTTATGCTTTTTGGAAGTATCTTTGAGCTTTGCTGCAAAAATCTCTTTGTGTATGGGAAGGAATACTGACACTTAAAAATTAGGCATGTGGTCTCTTGGAAGTTACCTGCTAGCAGGAGGGTTACTGAGTAAAATGAATTGCAAAAGTCTCAGATGAAGAGTTGAGTTCTACTAGAGAGGTATTAAATTTTGCTTTTGGAAGGTTAAGTATATAAACTAGGGATTAATTTTTGGGTTTAGGACAGCATTTGGATTTCACCACAATGTTGACTAGATACATTTTGTGAGTTAGACAGAAATCTTAGAAATAAGACAGAAATCTTAGAAATATGTCAACATCAAAAAAGATGTTTTGGAAAAATGTCACAGTGGTAGTTATTTGCATTTGTGTTTGGCATGGCTTGATGCTTTTCCATTGAAGGCAACCATGACATTCACCTGAATACTCAAATTTGGCAGCAGGAGTTCTATAGTGCTGGTAGATGTGAAACAAAAGGGCTTAATAGGTGTATAAGGTTCCAGTGTCAGGACTCCTCATGTAACATTGGTATAAAAATACTTTACACTTGAGAATATATTTAACATTTCTGACTTTGAGTTCAGTTGGAAGGTTGCTTTCTATATGAATGAATGGCTAATGAAGGGCCTGAGTGTCAAAGTGTATGTTTTTACATTAAGAAATTCTCAAATGTCCTTTTTATTGTCCTCTGCAAAATCTCACCATTGCCAGTAGCCTGTTTGCAGTCTGTGTAAACTGCTACATACACAGAAGTAAGAACTGCTGGAAGAATAAACCTGCTTGAAGACTTTTGTTAATCTTGTGCTGCTTCACATTTCCATCATAATGTAGTTTTTAAGGCTCAGCTTTGTTTTCTAAAGAAAAGAATCATTAAGGATCAGGAGCTGAATTTGGCCTTCCCTGCTGAGCCAGTAAGAAATTAGTGAATGTCTACTAGAGTTAGTGTTCTGAGCTCTCTGGTAAAGGATGATATTAAATAAAGCCTATGGTCTGTTTCTTGTAAAATTTATGGTAATAGTTAAATAGTTCAATTGTCACTTTAACTGATCTTGTTTTCTCCATTAGACTACATGAAGAAATCATTGACTTCTATGACTTCATGTCCCCTCGTCCTGAAGAAGCAGCTATGAGAAGAGAAGTGGTAAAAAGGATAGAAACAGTCATCAAAGATCTCTGGCCTACCGCTGATGTGAGTGTAGCTTCAGTTGTGATTTGCTTCTCTAGTAAATTGTAGAGCTTGGTTCACTTAATCTTGCTATTATCTTTCTTTTAGGAATGAACAGGTAACTTTTCAAGTTTAAGGCAATTGACCTAATATCACAGTTCTTGCAATATTTGGAAATTTATTTGAAATTTATTTTAAAAAGAGGGGAAATTTTAAACCTAGATTTTGGGTTAATGAATTCTACTGAATCTTTTTTTCATTTTGAGAGCTGGGAATGTGATTCTTTTAGTAGTGCCTTTCTTAAAAAAAAGCTTATTAAATTGATTGTCTCTGTATAATTTAATTTTGAATAATAAAGGGGGACTGACTACCTATATATCCATTTCTGCAAGGAGTCCTGAATGTGTGGATATTTTTAAATCAAAATATTTTATGAAAGAGCAATTAAATGCAGATTTTTTTGTACTCTTCATGAATTTGACATTCAAGGAATTGCTTTAGCCCCACTGTAGTGAGAAAATTGCACTCCTTGAGATACATTGCCATCTAAACTGGTGTAATTTCAAACACTTTGTTACCCAATGAATAAGTCTGCTTATTCAAAAAGATTGTACTCTATTCTAGCATCACCTTTGTGATTGCCAGATTGTAGCATTGTCATTAGACACCAGAAAAATGTTTCAGACCACAGTGATTTCGTAGCCTTCCATGGCAGACAGTGAAGGGCTCAGGCTACAGCACTGAGCTAAAAATACTGTGAAGCTGATCTGCTTCATCCTCACCCATGTTTTTCCTTCATAGTGAGATTTTTGTACCTTGTGGAAATTGATATAAACACTGAAAAGGGCCTGTGTTGCCTGGCCAAAAACTAAGTGAGCTTGTGCATTGGGCTCTTCTGTGTCAGAGAGGGAAGGACATCTCAATTCTTAAGATGGGAAGCTCAGTGAAAGTATTTGATGTGGTCTGTGGATGTATCTTCATTGTGCGTGCTTTTCCACACAAAAACACCTGCTGCTACTTCATAGTTGTTCTTGACAGTAAAATCTGTAGTATTCATATTTATCTGAATGATATGTTTAGATGTACTTGCTGGTTTTTAAACATAAACATTTGGAAAAAAATTCCCCTAAACTGTTTCAGTAAAGCTGTCCTGTAAGGAAAGGAAGGAGCAGAAGGGAAGGAAACAAATAAAAGCTTGTATGTCTGTCAAACTGGAAATAAGTAATGCAAAGAACTTGCCTAAATTTATTCCCTGCAAGCTGGATTGGTAGTTATTTCATGGTAAAGAAGCCAAATTTCCTCTAAAGTAGCATCTCTAAGAAAAAGTGTGCTTGTACAGAGAGTATATAATAAAGTAACTTTTTTACTTACTATGTCCTTAAGAACTGGAGAAAAGTATGAAGTTTTGTGAAAGTAAAAGGAATTGAGCATTCATAATTGCAAGATGTTTTCTTGCTGTGTTCTTTTCAGGTCCAGATATTTGGCAGCTTTAGTACAGGGCTTTATCTTCCAACTAGGTAAGTAATAGTTTACTCTTCTTTTAGAGAAATGGTAGATCTCAAAGAGGAGTTTAGAATGGAATGTGCAAATTTGTCAAACTTTCAGTAAAACTTTTGAATTTCATGTGAAACAGGGAAGAGCTTTTGAACTTCAAGATTTGTATTTGATGTATTATTTTACTGCTCTGCTTGTTGACCCTTTGGTGAATTACCTTTTCTTTCTTGTGTCTGGGGTTAGTCTTTGGCTTTTTTTTTAAACAGACAGTGCAACTGAATGTTTGGCATTTCCCTTGTAAAGACTGTTTTGTTAAATAAGATAAATTACTAAGAATATGTCACTTACCACAGAGTTACTGTGTAAAGTCAAAAGAACCATCACAGTGCTGCATTCCCATCTTTTTGGAGAGCAAAATGTCTTACTTAATTTGGTATTTTCTATCACTTAATGGTTCAGTTTGATGTGGAAATGTGTGTAGCTCTGCCTTGAAGATGAGGTTGTCTTTATATAAATTAAATTTTCAGAAGGAAAGCACTGGAAATTTTGTTTCTGTGAATACCAATCACTGATAAAATTCTTTGGATTATTCAAATGCCCATCAACATGAGTTGACAGATGATGGATGGAATTGGTCTGTTTAAGTCAGAGGGGAGGGAGCATGAAAGGTAAAAGGGAAAGGAACTCGGAGAAAAACTCATTAGAGTAATGGAAGCAAAAAACTAGAATACTGCTTTGGGTCCTAAAATACCATGGACTGTCTTGCTTAATGCTCCTAGAAGAAGCTTATGGTAACCTATATTGCAAATTGCAAAATGATCACCATGTGTAGTCATTTGGTACTTGTAATCATCATGGTACTTGTAATATGTAGAATGCCAATCTTACCATACTTTTTGGCAGTATATTGTGCTTTAGATTTACTGGGTTTCATACTGTGTTCTTTTTGTCTAGTGATATTGACCTAGTTGTTTTTGGGAAATGGGAGCGACCCCCTTTACAGCTGTTGGAGCAAGCACTGAGAAAACACAATGTGGCTGAGCCATATTCCATTAAAGTACTTGACAAAGCTACGGTAAGTCATAGCTGTGGAATACTGAACTGAAAAAGTTTCAGACCCCTTCAGATGTTGGTGATAAATAGTATTCTTAATTCCTGGAGCAAATTATATTGTCTTAAACTCTCTGCAAGATTTCAGTAGAATCTGTATATGCTTAGCAATAGCACGGAGTCTTTTGTATGGCCGTTGGTAATTCTATGTACTGTGCTTACTGAAGGCCATACTTTATACTTAGGTTGTCAATAAAGATCTGAAAGTTAGTATTTGCAGAATATCCAGTAAAATAAGTTAACTATTTGCATAATGTTTTTCCACTGACCTTTGAGGGGAATTTGTTAAGCCAGTAACTAGAGCTGTCTAGCTTTCAACATGGTTTTCAGGTTGTCTTGTTTCTGATGGCATAGTGAAGTGTTCCAAACTTAACATTGGGTTTTCCTGTCCAAAATATACTATTTGAGAGCTTTATGTCATTTGTAAGACTGATGTGTGTTATCTCTTGCATCTTTCTTGTAAGCCTGAATCATGTTGAATAAGTTAAAAACTTAATGCATGAGAATTTTATGTTACTGGGCAAGTGATGTTTTCTTCAGGGGACCAAGATGAGTATTCCAAACTTCTGTTAGCAAGCTTCTGTTTTGTGGTCTCTAAAACAGTCTTCCTCTTTTAGGTTCATAATATTCCTGTGGCTTTCATTAGAGTAGCAGTACATAATAGTAGCGTTGGTAGTCTTTGGTTTACCTGAGAACAATTGGGATTTTCAGAATCTGTATTACCAGTTAATGATGGAAAATGGCACTAGGAAAATCGCTTACAATTGTACTATTCCTTCTTATTATTTTTTTCTTCTGATATTGGTATAAAATGCTATACTTCTGCTCTTTTTTATTTTTCATTTCAGATTAAAAATATGAAGAGTTTAATTTAAAATAAATCTTTTCAGCTGAAGTTTAGGTTATGATTTTAAGATGATTTTGTAGGGCACTGCCTTCCAGTGGTGGTGCGAAGCTAAACTACATATTCAGTCATTTTATATTCATTTATTCCTGCCATATTACTATGATGGCTTTGCTTTATTTCTTCTGGCTTTCATTTGACTCTGCATTGAACCAGTTCATCTTGATAAACCAACAGGCATTACTTTCTGCTAGGCTGGTTTCCTGTCAGTTCAGCAAGTGAATGGTGCAATACTGGGTCAGAGGAATGCAGTTCCCACAGGTTATGAGATTACAAGATCTCCTATTAATTGGAATGAGTCATTAAGTAAATTAAGTTGTCATATGAAACACTGCTATTGCAGCTATGAAGGCAGATAGCTAATGGCTGTGGTAGAGTACTAGAGTGATGGTAGGTTAAGGTGATTGTACATTAATCAGCTCCCTAGAAAGCATTCATTGGTCAGTCAGGTCAGGATTGTTACCTCCTCTTAGACAGCCTTGATAGTTGCAGTCATTTGGACTGCTAATATCCACGTGTCTTGAGTAAGCTAAGGAACAGCACCAGTGTTGTATTCCTGGGGATTCACATTCTTGTCTTAATCTTTTCAGGTACCAATAATAAAACTCACTGACCAGGAGACAGAAGTGAAAGTTGACATCAGTTTTAATGTAGAAACTGGTGTGAAGGCAGCTCGATTTATCAAGGAATACATGAAGGTATCAGCCATGTATTGAATGTTATGCTACTTACCAAGGATGTGCTAGATGCTTAGCTAACCTTTTTTGGTATGGCTTGACAGTTTATTGCTGAAGACTATTTTCATTAATACTAATTAAACATGGATATTTGAATTTATTATCTATTGGTGTCTATTCAGTGTTCACTTAGAGTGCTAGGTGTTTGAATAAACCTGTACACTGTGAAAGAACTTCTATGGTCATGCCTAGATGTACAGATAGGCACTAAACTTTGCTTCTGAAGCAAGTCTCTTTTCAAGTTTTGTTTACCTTGAATTTAAGTGATGCTGCATTATGAATACTGTCCTGCTAAACTGTCAAAAACCAATTCTTGTGTAGCTACACACTTAAAAGTTTCCTTTTACGCTCTGTAGTAAAAGTACTATTTAGAGTGAAACCTTTGGCTATAGTCAGTGATATTGCCATTCAAAGAAGGATATAAAAAGCTTACTATTTAGGTGGGAAATAAATTTAATACATAAGGTCTTTGATCAAATAAGAGTTGAAGGCTATTCATCTGTTTCTAGAATAAAAAAAAAACAAGTGTTTCAGTTCTTCCTGTGGAAACACTGTATAGCACACCACTGGAAATATTTTTGTATTAGATGAATCTTTACTGAGATTGTCTACTTCTTTGTTTGTTTTGGAATGTTGACATTGTCATTGATAAAACTTGTTTTGCTTTGCAGAAATATTCTTTGTTACCGTACTTGATTTTAGTATTAAAACAGTTCCTCCTTCAGAGGGATTTGAATGAAGTTTTTACTGGTGGAATTAGCTCTTACAGCCTAATTTTAATGGCAATTAGTTTCCTGCAGGTAAGTCTGTTCCTTGTTTCTCTGTTCTTAAATAAAATATTTTGGGTTCTGTACTTGTGCCCTTTTATTGTACTGTTTCTTCAGATGCCCCTTGCACAGTGCAGCATTACTGTTATGGTTCTGAGTGTTTGACTCTTGAAAGATCCTGTGGACTACCTCTCAAACACCCAGGGTCTATCCTGTGTGAGCTGGAACAGCAGCAGGAGCCTTGTGAAAGGCATAGAGGCTGTGCATTGCTCTCTACACCAGGGCCTCTACCTGAATCATCTTAACGGTGCTTCATAAATCTGCAGGATGCATTTTTGTCTTTTGCTTCCCAGACTACTGGTACTGAATGTGAAGAGTAGTTGATTTCAGTGTTTATTAAAATGATGAAATCCAACAGTCAAGTTTGGCTCTTTTTTCTTAAATATTGGTTAGGTTTTGACATGCTTAAGACTGGCAGATGCTGTACTTGAGTGATGAAATAGTAACAAGTTACAACTTCTCTTAATACAGTTTTGTGACAGTGAGCCTCCTACAGTATGATGAGATATAGGGTTAACATCTCTCAGCAGCTGTGGTAATGGAAAACTTACATATTCTGCTGCTGGTGGTGTTGACTGCAATATTACTATAGATTTTATGTACCAAATGTAATAAGTAGAGAGAGAGAGACAAACTGTATTTCATTGGGGAAACTAGATTGCCCCCCACTTTCTGAAAGCTTTGAGGGATGAATTTGTTGTAGAAAATCGGGTACTACTTTGTTACTAACTAGGCTATAATTTAGTATGCAGTACTTATTTCTTGTTTGAGACTTAAGGAAAAGAATTCCCTAATCCTCAAAAAGCTACATGAGGAAAGATGAAAGAATTTGGCTTTCAGATACTACTGAAGTGCTGCCTCCTCTAGGTTGTGTGAGAGTGGTTTAAGTACATGAAGAGTGAATTATTCAGTTGAGACTTCTGTGAAGAAATACTCAGCTGTTAAATGAGACCTTTTTGTTGCCCTGTGTTATGGTCTGAAAACTAGTAGTTTTTAATATGCAAAAACTGGTTTGTGTTACAGCTACATCCAAGAATTGATGCCAGAAGAGCTGATGAAAACCTTGGAATGCTTCTAATAGAATTTTTTGAACTCTATGGAAGGAATTTTAACTACTTGAAAACTGGTATTAGAATAAAAAATGGAGGTGCCTATATTGCCAAAGAAGAAATCATGAAAGTCATGACTAATGGATACAGACCATCCATGCTATGTATTGAAGATCCTCTTCTGCCTGGTAAGACTGTACACTTGTTGCAGTATTCCAGAGCTCTGGCACAGCTTGTGCTCTCAGCTTGCGTTAGTCCGTCAGATGAGTTAAGAAGCTGCACTGGGAAGAGGCTATTGCTGCTGTAGAGGTACAGTCAGGTAGGAGGGCTGAGGGATATGGGCCTGAGGTCTCACAAGATTCTTAGCCTGAGTAAATTGAATTACATGCAAACAGTGTAGTTGCATAATGCTTTGGAGATCCAGAGGACATAAGGAGATTCTCTGACAGCATTGAGAGGTAGTAAAAGAAAGAATTCCAGGAAATCCTGGAAGGAGGGTTGTTAGCAGAACAGTTCTCCATTATTTGCTGTGAGAATGAGATTGGAAGATGTTGCTTTTACTGCCACAGTCTGTGGTGCCATACTTCAGATAAATCACACCATATGGGAAAGAAATGCCCCAGATGCAGAACCTGTCCTGCAGGGTGATACCACAGGGACTGCACAGGAGCAGGGGTGGGTATCTGTAAAAAACAGCTGTGGTGGTGGTGGTGTGGAGAGCACTTTGCATAACTGGCTTCTGTGCTGCACAGGGATCTTTAGGGAATGCCATTTAGCGTTTTAGAGTTGCATCTTCTTTGGATAGTACTTAACATAGGGTTTTTTTTTTTTTAGATTTGGTTTTAATTCAGTAACCCTCAAAATAATTGAGCTTAATTTTGGCTAAGTGCCTCAGGAAAATTTCCAACTTTATAGTACTCAGTTTGTATTCTATTTAGACCATCACAAGTAGCTGAAATTCCAAACCAGCTTTTTAACAAAGTCAATTTTCAGTTAATTTGGACTTCAGCACAAATATTTCTAGAATGTAATTGGCAGTCCAAGTCCATACTGTCACATTTTGTGTGTAGACGTTTTATAGCACTTTTACAGCACTTCTAAAGCAAATACCATGGATCAGGAGCTGAAAGCTGGCACCTTTCTAAATACTCAATATGCTGAATGTTCATACTTCCCTAGAACAGGTTGCAGGCTGCGATACTCATTTGTCTAACTATGTCTCTGATACCTTTGTAACTCTGTGTCCATCATGACTCTTGTATTTGGCCAGGCATAGGTTAGGGGGTGATTGTGCAGAACTGTCATTGTCATTGAGATTTCCTTTAGGAGCTGTGTACTTACTTGCCTGAAGTCCCATTTGAATAGCAGCATAAGCCACAATTGTTTAGAGTCAAAAATCCTTCCTGCCCTTCAGTTCTGTTCCCTTCTATCTGCTGGGGACTGAAGAAGAACAAATTGCATGTGCAACTGAGTGTTTTAATCACTGCCAATAGTACTATGGAGAAGGAAAAAAAAGGTCTAATAGGGGCTCTGAACTGTTCCTCCTGGCATTAATCTTGCAGAAATGAAGAACTGTAGTTTAGAAGAAAGAATACCTATATGCTGTCAAAGAGTTGATAAGAATGAAATTAAATTAAATAAAGAGTTTGTATGGTGTGAGATAATATAATTCTTATAGGGGATAGTGTTTTGGCAATGGAAATGAAAACTGACAATATTTTTAAGTTATCTGACCACTGTGTCTCATAGGGATATTCTTTAGCAGCTACCATAGACCTTCAGAACTTGCCAGATGAAGCTAGGAAGAAAATTATGTAGCACATATAGGATGGCTCTTTGAATCAAATCTGATGAGTACAGCCTCCTTAGATTCAGATTCAGACTTAATCACATATTCCTACAGTATCTAAAATTGCCTGTCAAGTGTATGTTAGTAACATCTAGAATTCTGTTAATTAGTTTAGTTCTGTTATTCCTTCTGTCCCAGTACAAAAATCTTTCCCAAGGGTTCAAGTCCTTGCCCAGTTTACAAGTCATCTCTGATGAGATTTGTTCAGATCCACTCAATGTCTGACTGAGGGTTGGTGGCAGTACTGTGAAGGAGATGGGAATAAATTATTTTCATAAAGAGTGGACACAGATGTCTCAACTTAAATTAGCATAAGCTGCTGGTGAGTTTTACCCCTGCAAACCTGTGTTTGCACTGTATGCTCAGGTTTTTAACTTTGTTTTTCAATCCTTTTTTTTTTAGCCTGATCACAACTGTTTATAAGGTTCCTGTTAAGCCTTGGAAGAGTACTTGAAAAGATGGCTTCTTAATCCCAAAATGAGACAAAAAGTACAGGGATAAAAAAACCCTCTCCCTTTCAATTTCTTAAAGGTTATCAAAGTAGTGTACAAGTCGCTCCTGTGAGTGTATGCAGTAGGTCAGCAATGCGATACTGAAGGGTATAACCCAAAAGAATAGCTTTAAAGTGGTCTTGCAGGGAACAGGAATGTGTTTCGTGGGATTAGTTTCTTTAAGTTGGAGGAACTGCTTTTTATTCAGTGTGAAATGGTGGATGATGTCTGGCTAAGAGATTAAAGGTGTCATCAGGAGGATGTGATACATCATTCTAACCTGCTCATTACCTTCTGTTAGTTCCTGGATTTGGGAGGAACCGGCATCCAGGTTCCATATTGTGGTGTTGTTTTGGTAGTAGTGGGTTTTCTTAAATTCTCTTAGGTACTACAGGGTTTCCTCAGAGATTCTCAGAGATTGATCATTGTGTGCCAGAAGATGATAATTTGTGTGATTTAAGAACCAGGATTCCAACAAAGGTGTCAGGAGTCAACACTTCAAGTGGGGAGCTTGTTGAGGTGCGGATTTGAGTTATCAGACTAATATAGTGGTGATGAAAATTACTTCAATTTTGAAGTAATCATTTATACTTGGTCTTTGTACATAGTCAAAGATCTTTCATCTTGGATTAGTGTCCTAGGACAGAGTAAAGAAATGAAAATCATTCCCTTAGCATTGTCTAAAGGAGGGAATTTCCATAAGCATCTTGTAGCTGCACCATTTCAGTTTCTCAAAGCACTTGTCTTTTTTGTAAAATATATATAAAGGAGAACTGCAAAGCCAGGCACTCAGAAGTTTGTTCACAGGAATATATTGGAGCCGGGTAGATGATGTCATCTTGGAAGAGGTTTGTCTGGAGTTGGTTTAGCAGTATCCTGTCTTGCAAGACATAACTGTTGGCAGTTGACAAATCTTTTAATCTGTGGTTGTAAAACAAGCTTGGCACTTACCCAGCAGACTGTTGCGGGGAGCTTGTTATTTTATACCTTTGTAAATCAGGTGGTTATCAAGGTTTTCCAGTCATTTCTGATGCTCAGAACAGGAATAATTTTTGGTCTAGTTTCAGGCTGGCAGTAGCTAGAGTAGCTAAATTGCTACTCTTTAACACCAAGTTTAAAACTTGGAGTCCCACCTGTGCAGCTCCATTTGTGAGAAGTTTGTTCCTCATTCTTAATTGCTGTGGGCAGTAATGAAAGTTCTAAACCTTAAATGTGTTTCCTTGGAAAAGAGAATATTTAACTTGCAGGGTTTATTATGCTTCATGTTGCTTGCTTCTGCATCTTGATAGGTCACCAGTATGGGAAGTAAATAGATTTGAGATTGGCAACATCTATGAGATTATCTCTTCTAGTCTTAGTGGCTGCCCAGAATGATTCATTGCAGCTTTTCAGTATCAGCTATTTATCATTAGAACCTGCATATATATATGTTTGTGTGTGTGTATAAAACAAGTGCTTATAAAAATACCCAGGTTCATTGAAGTTAGCATTTGAAAGAACCTCTTTAATGCTGAATGTTGCAAAAAGCTGTTTACTAGCTAATAGCTTAACATGAATGGGTCTGCTGCAGTTCTAGCTCATGGTCTTACCTTTACCTTTTCAGGCCGTGTTCTTATAACCGCTTCAGGTAAAGGAAGGCTACCTGATGGAGTGGTAATACTGATAGCAAGTGATGGAAATTTTGGACATGCTCCTTTAGGGATGAAGGCTTTGTAAGAAAGAATAAGAATTGAATTATACATGAAATCACACACCATTGTAATCTGCTAATGTACATCTGAGGATTGAAGTATGTATGATTTTTTTAAAGAGTGACAGCATTTGGGTTGCGTGCTTTAACTGATCAGTCTAGATTGTGACCAAAGAAGGATGCTCAGTTATGTAAGACATGGTTCTCTAATGAGAGTGATCTCTCAGAAGAAAATCTATTCAGGGCAGCAAATGCAAATGTGTGATCTTCTGGCTTCTTTTAATATGTTGTTTTGTGGATTGGCTAGGGTCATCTTTACACAGACTTGACAGATCAGTTCACAGTAGCTCCAGCTGCAGCCCAAGTAAAAGCTCTGCAGACTGGATAATTGATTAAGACCTGTTAATTCAGACAGTTTTATGAATGAGTTACAGGTGCAGAATGAGGCAATCCAGGAACCCAAGCAAGGTATGGCATTAGCTATTCTGCCTCTCTTATCAAATCTGCTTCAATCAAGACTCAAACACAACTTCATTGATTAAAACTAAATTGCCCAAGTTTACTCTAATTGGTTTAGGGAAGGCTTATGATTTCTTTTGCTGGCACAACAGAGGAGGTAGTGACAACTGATGAAAGAAATAGCCAATATTTTGTGGCAACTCTGTCTTCATTTTGGTACAACTTTGGCAGGATACATGCCAAATGTACCTGCCTAGCATTGGGTTAGACAAAACTAATAAAGATTCTTTGAGTGCACGTTGAGTGTGTATTCTTAATTAGTGTTATGTGAATTTATTGGCTCATTTAGGTTGGAAAAGAGCCCTAACCTCAACTCCAGCCACAGATGGACTTTAAGTTAGTGGTAGGTGCGATTATGTGTTTTTAGTATGTATTCCATTTCTGTTTTGCTTCTGAATTTAATTATCTTACATATCTAGGTTTAGAATATCAGTATGTGGCTGGACACACAGTAAGGGCTCTGAAAAGCCCTTACTGAATTAATTATTACATTTTAGTATAATTAACATTGTCTTCTGATTTTATGACTACTAAAATATTTTGGTCACTTTTCAGCCACCTTTGGAGTAAGTCCTTTGTGAAGTCCTCTGTGAAGAACATTACCATGTGTTTCCTCCTAGATTCACTGTCCTAGGCCCACACTGATTTCTTTTTTACTTCAGGATAGAGTCCAATAGCAAATAAACCATTTGGAGAGGCTTCTGTAATTAGTGGCTGCTGTATACCACAGTGGTGCCCTCAGAGCAAGATACGCAGTTATGTCAGTAAGCAGGAGGTGTTTCTTGATCGGTTTTTATTTGACCATGTGAATTACTGGAAAAATTGTTTTCCCAAAATGCATTTATGTTTTCAGTTAGCTTGCACTGATTATACTTTCCTGCTAGAATGGCATTATGGTTGGAGAATTTTGAAAGGAATCTGTTTTCTTCCCCTGGATGGCAAAGCTCAGCAGGTAGCTATAGTAGCTGGACAAAACACTCAGGGGAGTTCCTCTAAAGTCAATCTCAGCCTTGTTGGATTCTGTCCTCCAAAGGATGGATTCTGTCCTTTACCCATCAATTTTTCAAAGCAGATTTTTCATTAATTTAGATTTTTCATTAATTTCATTTATTCATGGGCTCTGATCTGATTTTCATATTTGGTGGTTCATCCCTTTCTAGTGTTCTCACAGCATTTCACCCATCATTCTGAAGGAGGGAACCTTGCACTGTAAGCAGTTTTCTACCCACTCAAGACCTAGTCCGTATTTTATGCAATTTGAAAGGAGTTCCATTTGTGCTTCTTAAATTGAATGCTGACAGTCAGTTTTGTTGTCTGGTGCCAAATACATCCACATGAAGCTCCCAAATGCCTTCTGCTAGTAACAGCAAGATTGTTCTAGGTATCAGATGGGTGATCTATTCTTGTACTATGTCACTGATACAGAAGGTATACAACATTCTTAACTTCTGCAGTTCACATTGCAATAGATTTGGAAAGAGTTCCAGTTAAAATGTCACTCATTCCTAAAGTAGGGCAGTTGAGAGTGCTACAAACTTGATCAAAAAACAGTACTATAAAAGCTTCTGGAATCTTCTATGATAGATTTTTGAAAAACTGGCTCGTCCTGTGGAGATAAATATCTGTATGTGATGGTTTATTAATCTGTAGTTTTGATAAGGTTAAATAGGGTTTTCCGTGAGTCTGTCTCACATAATGAAGGTTACACAAATGAAATTTTAAACTGAATTTGGCCTGCAGGAACTCTACTGGTAAGTGAGACATGGTTCTTTAAGCTTGGTACGTTCCCTCTGGAAGACAGCTCTAAGAGCTTTAAGCTGATCTCTGTGCTCTGTTTCTTTGAAGCACTATATGCAAGTATTTTAGAAGTGGTAAACTGAGTGCATAATGTTAAGTGTCATTCATAAGGTCAACTTCTTTTGCTGAAATAGGCACACTTAGGTGTTCCTGATGTGGCTAGGATGGGATAACTGGTTTAAACAGAATTAAGCTTGTATTGTTGAGGCTTCTGAGCTTTAAGTATGACTAATGTTTTGGTAACTGATATTAAAAAAAGATGATCTGATGACTGTCACATTATTTCAGGAAACGACGTTGGCAGAAGTTCTTACGGTGCCATGCAAGTGAAACAAGTTTTTGATTATGCCTACATTGTTCTTAGCCATGCAGTATCACCACTTGCAAGATCATATCCAAATAGAGATTCTGAGAGGTAATTAGTTCACTTTTTCAATATCCATTTGTCTGTGTAATCAGTTAGGAATGTTTGGTTCTAGATTCATAAAAGTAATGTTATTTATTGTTTAACTGTGGTCGTATTGAAATCTGCACAGAAATTTAACCCGCCCAGGAATATGAGAGTACAATGCCTCAATGTGCAGCACTTAAATGAAGAGAGTATGATAAAATCCAGGATGAGTCCAACGTTCTGCTTGAAGTATTTCAAAGGAGGGTTTGCTGGTTTAACGTTTAGTATGATGCATGTATGTATTGTGGCAGAAAGAAATGTGTGTGATCAAATTACTTGTTTAGGCTGTTAGAAAACTAGACCACAAGGCTAAGAATTTACCTGGTTCTTTAATAAATGCCCCCATAAACTGTTTTAAAAGACTTGATATGTATTTAAGAATTAAAGACTTAAAATACTATATTAAAAAAAACCTAATAGAATCGGTCCAGTTTGATTGTATTGCCAGAACTGCCATTAAAAGTAGCATGCTTTTAGACATGCCATTTTAAATGCAGTTCTTAGTGTCCTTCATAGAGACACAACCAGTACTTTGAGCTCTCACCTTCACAGTTTCTGTTTTTTGAAAGAGAGAGGAGAAAGATAATGAAGGCATGGCTGCCATGCCTGGTATTCCAGGCGTGGTATTTCCATTCATGTATCTGCTCTAGCACCTTTTGTTCTAACCATTAGTGTGAATTTGGGCTAGATCAGAAGATGTTTCTTCCCTGAGACTTCCCTAAAATCTCAATGGCTTTGAGCTCCCCAGCTAATCACAGGGAAGGATGGCTGTAAGTTGTCACATAAACCATTTCAGTACAACTGCAAACTCTAGTCATGATGTAAACTTTCAGCATCAATGTCATTGGAAGGTGAAATAGTTTCCTCTAATAAGTTTACATCAAAGTGGACGCAGTCTTTCACTTGTGAGTTTAAAACTGACAGTACTTTAGGAGTGCCTGTAAATTCTTTAGGTTTTCAGTGGTATTAAATTCACAAAGGTTGAGACTGCACTGTGATGGAGGTACAGAAGGGGGCTATGGAGTGTTGCACACTTAAGACTGCTGTCTTAAGATATTAAAGGTCACTGTTTAATGTATATTGGCTGACAGTTCTTGGTACTGAATGAAACTTTGGTCTTACCTAAGTACAGGTAGAGTAACCTAGGGATTCCTGAAGTTCTGCTTGTCTTGGGTCCTGGTCTCCATTAACTTCTCTGTTTTTCTCTGAAGAATATAGTCATTATGAGGTGTATGTATTTACTACAGGCATCAAAAAGTATATTTGTATAGCATCTAATGGGAGCCTCAGGTGTCATCAGTATGTGCACTTTGCATGGACTTGCACTTGTTACTGTAGCTGGGAAATGTTTGAATTTTGTTCACAACTGCAAACCTGTGGAGCAGTCCCAGCAGCAGTGTTCAGGTGTCATGTCTGACCTGTCTGAGTTCTGGGCTGTCTGTGCCAGTGACATCTGAATCTCAGAACCCATCATGCCACTGGCTTGCAAGGGGAACAGCATTCAACAAATTTCTGCATACAAATAGTTCCCCTAGCACCAGTCTTGTCAGTGCCAAAGGACTTGTAAGTGGATGATGAGCTGTTTGGTAACAAGTTTGTTGCCAAGTCAGCAGTCCATGTGTGGTCTCAGTTAAGCCTGATGTGCTTGGGTGATCCAGGTATGTTTGTGGATCCCTCTTCCTGCTGTAAGGCAGAGTGGTCCATGCTCTGTATAAAGACCTTTCTGGTGGCCTGACCTAAAGCCTGGCTATCTGGGAGTCCTTTCTCCTGATCCATTTTTTTGCCTTTTCTAGACTTGTTAGTAGGTAGGTTAAACTATAACATAACTGTACCTATAAACAATGGGCTCCATTTAAGACCAGGGACTGGCTTCTAGTAGAAGATTATGTTCTACTAGAGGGATCAAGGCTAAATGAAGATTACTTGAAAGGATAGGAAGTTGCAGGAGGCTGAACTCTCCAGGCTGAGTTTATTCAGTTTTATCCTAATTTGGGCTAGCTTTTCCTAAGTGGGATGGTTCTTGAATTATCTGATGGGTTTGAATGCATATTTCCTCTTCCCAGGGAAGGTTTCTGTGTACAGAGTTCTATTTTGTAGATGACACTCAGTAGATTTCACATCTTTCTTGGTGATTGTTGTAGTTCTTTTTCAGAGTCAGTCCAACACAAAAATATGTCTACATTAATTGAGGGCTTTCTAAAGAGTTGCTACTTCTCATAGTCCTAATGGGGAAAAAAAAGTCAGATAGTAGTCCTTCAGCAGCATAGGCCTTTTTCTTCATCATGTTGTGTGATAGCAAGTCCCACAGAATAATAAGGGATAGATTCACATCACTCTTACCACCATTGTCATTCAGGCTTCCAAATAGAACATCTGAGATGTAGTGGGAATTAAAAGGTATCTCCTATCGTGGAAAAGCTTTCTTCTCAGTGGAAACAGTAATCAGCTGAATCCTGAAGGTAATTCTTACAGCTACAGAAATAACCTTAACACTATTTTGTCCTCAGTCAATCTTACCTATCCCCTCCTGAGAATGGCTAGGAGAGCTTGATTGACAGTTTGGTTGATTTTATTAGAGCAAGCAGCTTCCTGTCATCTTGGAAAAAGGAGTTTCCTCTTAGAAAAATAAGAGACTGATCCATTTTGAACTTGTACAGCTTGTATGCAAGGTAAAGTTTGGTGTTGTCTTCAGACAAGGTGACTGAAAATTGTGATTGATGTCTTAATATTTAGGGCCACAGAGACATGAGTCTAGCTGTGAAATACAGTTATGAGCAGGATATCTCCTGCTTTAAGGATTGGTGTTGGTATGTGCTTTGAACAGCTTTCATATGATCTTTTCCCCTAGCCTGTCTCTGGGAAAGAGAGTGTGCCATCTCAAGTGAGCTCATTTCTTCAGTCTGTGAGGAATGATATTTTCACAGAATCATTTAGGTTGGAAAAGACCCCTAAGATCATTGGGTTCAGCTATTAACCCAGCCACTACTGTGTTCACCACTAAATCATGTCCCTCAGTGCCACAGTTACATGGCTTTTAAGTACATCTAGGGACAGTAACTTCATTGCTTCCCTGGACACCCTGTTCCAGTGCTTGACAACCTGTTTGTTGTTGAAATTCTTTCTAATATCTAATCTGAACCTTCTGTAGTGCAGCCTGAGGTCATTGCCTCTTGTGCTTTAACTTATCATTGGTGAGAAGAGACCAATGTCCACCTGGTACAACCTCCTTTCAGGTAGTGTAGAGAATGATAAAGTCAACCCTGAGCTTCTTTTTTTCCCAGGATAAACAACCTGATCTTCTCAGGACTCGTGCTCCAGACCCTTCACCTGCTTCGTTGCCCTTCTTTGGACTTGGTTTTGAGACCATTTTTCCAGTTCTGTTTCTTGATGAACCACAGGAAACCTTAGCAGATATTTGACAGCAAGCTCTCAATAAGCTCTGCTTATTGTTCATTTAAATAGTGGATTATCTGTTACCACCCTGTCCATGGCCTTTATATTAAGGTGTAATTTCATATTGTACCTTGCCCAGGCTAAGTACCTGTGTACTGTCTTCTGTCAGCTGTGCTGTTCCTTCCCTCTCAGTCTGAATCTTGCCTTGCATGAGATCTAGCAGTCCTGCAGTCAGAAGGTGAGTCAGATGGACTTTTTGGTCTGACTGAAAACAAGTATCTCAACACTTCTGTCATGTCAAGAAGTTGATCCAGCTTGTGGCTGATGGCGGGGTTGATCAGAAGCATCAGAAGTTCACATTTGGGGCAAGAGGTAGAGAGTGGTACTGTATCGTTTCACAGCCCTAAGTTTTGCTGCTCTGGATGTGACAAAAATCCATCCTTAGGTTATTATTTATGTTTTGCAGATTGGGATATTGGCTCACACACTGGTCTGTCACATAGTTTGGCTAGGAATGTGTGCTCAGACTGCATCTCTAAACAGTTCTGTAGCCACATTTGGGAAGCTGAGGAGGTCATAAGCAATGAGAAATGAAAGACTTGGTTTGCTGTCGCATGCCCTTCAGTATAAATTAGACTCTGTATTGTGCTGGATGTGGTGCAGCTGGATAAGGGAAAGACCTGTCATGCCAACAGGTCAGAGTTTGAGAAAGCCTAGTCAGTGTCCTACTGCATGTCTGGAGTTGTCATTTACAGGTGATAGTCTTCAAAACAACCATAGCCAGGTAGAAAGTGATCTTTCCATCTCTGTGCTTGGAAAGTTGTTGGGTCTCTTCCTTATATAAAATATACTATAAATATATAAAATATTATATAAAATATATAAATAAATAATATATATAAATATAGAAATATAGACATAAATAAATATAGAAATATATATGTATAAAATATATAAAATAAACTGGTTTGGTAAATAGTTTATTCATGGTCTTACTATATGATCATATTAAGGGAAAAAACTTAAAGGGACATCTTTCTCAGGAGATGTGTCTTATTTTACTAACCAGTTAACAGTATTTTTTATGTCTTCCAAACAAGCATATTTGAAGAACTGTTTGTCTCTGACATCTGTAGAAATTCTGGCCTCAGTTGAAATAAAAGCCCCAAAAGCATGACATTTTTCACAATAAAGGCAGGATAGATTAATAGGGGCTTTTTTTGTTCCTAAGCATTTTCAGTGTTGAAAATAAATTTAGGAACAATTTTCAAATGCTTATTTTAAAAAATTGGTCTTTGAACCCATGGATGTGCTTGAGTCCCATACATAGGAAATGATGTTCTTTTGAGATCAGTACCTGGTTTGATCACACTTGCTTCCTCTTTCTTTGCTACTTTATTTAAGTGTATGTCAGTATAACCTTAATCACCTTTCAGCTTCTCATGTCTCATAATGAACGTCTTTATTTTGCTGCACAAGCAATGTAGCATGGATCTGCCTCTGGACTCCTGACCGTATAACTTAGTGAATTTCCTTTTTCTACCTTTATACCAAAAAAGAGGGATCTCTGTGCCCTTTGAGAGGGCATATTCCCCCATTCTGGTTCTGGTGAGAGAATGTATTCCCCCATTCTGTGTGTGCAACTCTGCCACAATTGTTGGTGTAGCAGTCACTTCACCTATTTTGCCTGTTCTTCAGTATATCAGTCACCCAGTCTGATAAAAATACCAACCTCTATTGTTCATTTTGCTTCTGCTATGTGAAATCATGACTCTCACTTCACTTCCAGGACAATACTCTGAAGAAGCATCATGTTTGACAAACTCCTTATATGTAATAAGCTTGTTACTCAGCCCATGTTCACTTTCTGATTGTAAGACCACAGCTGGTGGTAGTCATGAAATTTATGTGTAATCCTAGAGTAGAAGCTCTACTCTTTCTGAAGGCCTTCTCAGATGAAACTTGTTAACTGCAAGATTTCCTTCCCTGTCCTGGTGCTGATGAGACCCAGCTGGTGCATGTTTGAGTCCCATAGTGGTGTTGCTCTTTTGGGAACTGCAGCTTTAGGGCCACGGCTGAATCTCTGCAATTTTGGTCATCCCCATCTTCATTCTGTCTCCTCTTGCTCAACTTACTCTTTGGGACTGAGAAACCAGAACTGCATTGAGTATTTAAGATGCTGTTATGTCATGGGAGTATACATTAACAAAACATGATCCTCTGATTTATTTGTTCTTTTCTTAGTGTGCTCTGCTTAGCTATTGAACTGTGGTTCCCAAAGTTGATCTTTAATTATAACCCAGATCTTTAATTTCTGAGTGCTGACAAGCACACCTGTAATACTGCGTGTAAAATTCAAGATTTTATTTTCCAGCATCCATCATTTTATCCACATTACATAAGTAGGATGGTGGATGACATGCATTCTGTCCTGGTGGCCCATCTACAGCTGCACTTGGACCTGTAATTTAGATGATATTATTTGATTCAATGTTTGCTGGACTGACTTTTTCAATCCTAACAGTAACATGTCTTTAAAGTTGGAAGACTAACATGGAACATGATATTTGGTCTTGCATGAGATAGTAATTGCTGGGATAGTAGGAGAATTATTGCTACCTAAAGTGTTACTATAAAAACTAGTAAGGTAGTCTAAATATATTAGGGTTTTGTATGTCCTGCCTTCCCATTGTACACCTAAACTAAAACAAAATTCCATACTGGTACAAGGTACTTTTCTGATGTGAAATATAAAATAAACTTTAATGTAATCATTGAAGATGAATAAAAATAACATTATCTGCTCCACAGTGGTAACTTTGTACAGCCCATTTTTGTACAATAGTAATTTCTTCATGTATCTTGAGTGTGGAGTTTATGGTTAGTGTTTCAATGACTAGTCTCTAATGAAAACAAAGCTTGAAAATTTATCTCTCAAACAAGAAGACTCAAGAAGTACGATTCAAATAGCTGAGTGTTGGGAAAGTGTGTTGGGAAAACACTACTTTGTTGATAACTGGTCACTGTTCAGCAGGACCAGGTAAGCTTTTTCTCTGAGCCTCTCACTGTTATGAATTTATTGAAATCCTACCTTGTTTTGGAGCCAGTCTGTTTCTTGTTCCACTACCTCACGATCCATGGTACTTCCTTTATAATTGTGGGGGTCTTATCACCTTTTGTCTTGTCAATCCAGAAGCAAGGATTAGTGAAGGTCTCTGTCTCCACAAAGCCAGTTGTGGTACTGGGATGCTTTTTGTCTTCTGTACATCCCATTTATAATCCAGATTCTGTGGAAAAATTTTTTGTATGGAGAAATGCAAGAACCATAAATTGTTTTTACCAAATATACTGTTATCAGCATGTGCATTCTTTATAGTTAATATGCATACCATTTAGAAATATAGAGTAAAAATCTTACCTGTGTGTCACTGCTTGCATGTTAGTATGGTAAAAGAAAAATAATATGAATATAAGTGGTGCTTCAGTGGATGAAATGGTGTGCTAAAAAAAAGAAGGTTCAAAAAGATTTTTTGGTTAGGGATATCTAAAACTGACTTTTAGTGTAATTTGGTAGCTTGTTAAAATGCTTGCAAATATGTAACCAACAGTCTTTGTTTAATACTTAATTGAAAAATTTTTTTAGCACATTAGGTAGAATCATCAAAGTGACCCAAGAAGTGATTGACTACAGGGCCTGGATTAAAAAGAAGTGGGGGAGCAAAATTAATTTATCACCTGAACTTGGTAGGTATAGCAGGAAACCAACTTAAATTTTTTTCTTGACTTTGATGTAATTCAAAATACCCTTGCCTTGAAATTAATCATTCAGATATACAGGAAAAAAATAAAAGGAACCTGTAACTTTCTAACCCAAATTAGTTTTTCTGAGCCTGTTTTTCAGTTAGCTTGTTAAACTGCAGCTCTTCTTAGACTTCAAGGCCCATGTGTTTGTATTCTGTGCTCTTAAATGATACTTATGTTTTCTGTTAACAGATAATAGGTTGAAAATAAGAGACCCAATAGCTCTCTGCAATGGAGAACAGCAGCAGAACAGAGACTCTGAACCATCTTACAATCAGCACTTGGCATTGTCATTGGCCAGCACACAGCAGTTATCCTCTGGTTCATCTGCCTCTTCTGTATCATCTCTCTCCAGCAGTGACATTGTAAGCTTTTTTTTAATGGGTTGATCTAGTAAGTAGAAGAGATGATCTTCAAAGCCTCAATATATACTCAACAGCAGTATATATAACAGTTAATGGGATACTGTCCCTAAACTGCTACAGCAACTGTAATGTCCTCTGCTCAGAAACATTACTGAAATCAATTTTTTTTGTTTTTGAATTAAATGGGTCTTATTTCCATCCTAAATCTTTGGTACCCTTTGTGGTAGTAGTTAGATGTAATGAAATATAACAACCCAATTTAACAGTAGCTAATCAAGTAGAAGAGGAGAAATGTCTTCATATATCCTTCCATTAAGCCAAGTCTTCCATTGTCAAATTCTGATCCTTGTTCCCCATACCTGAAATTGAACATGAGCATTATATTGTGCTGTGAAGGTGAATAATACTCATTATTTTCAGCCAAGCAGTCAGTTCATGTTTTGGTGGTAACAGGGCATTTGCATAAACTCTTGCCAGCTTCCTTATTTTAAGTAGTTGCTGGGCTTTATTATAACTTCCTGGAAGAGGAGTCTGCAGTCTCTTGAAGTATGTTCCCAGACTCTTTTAAGGTTCTGTCAGGTGGTTTTGTTTTGGTGTAAAGTTAAATCAGTGGAGAATTGGGCAGTGCAGATTAGAGCACAGCACTGTAAGGCATGAGCTGCTCATTGTGAATCTTCTGAAGCATTCTGTCTTAGGTAAAGGCATTGATGGAAGGAGATGTAATATGCAGTCAACTATGAAGTGAATAACTGGATAATACTAAGGGAGGTCCAAATACCTGTTTCTTGACTGCTTTCAATAACTAATCAAATATGGAATTAAAAATTGGGAATTTTATTCAATAAACATATAATAATTTTTGAGGGACAAGCACTGCCTATATATGTTCTGGTTACTTTCTGTAATTACTTCATGCTACAGTTCTTCTGGTGTTGAATTGTCTTTTTATGCCACCTTCAGTAAACAGGACAAATGTTTTAGTTGGTACCATCTGGCTAATGAGCCAAGAACAGCATGATACTTGCCAGTGATACTATTAGCCATGCTCCTGGTTTAAGTATATCAGTGGAAAAGATTTTGCTGCAATAAATTTTATGAAAAATGCAAATATTTGCTTATTACATTGGGAGTGCACAGTATTGGGTGGTGAGTTGTTATGAACTCCCCTTAGTCCAGTTTAGCTTGATGTTGAAGGTGAAACTTCATTGCCCGATGCCAGAGAAATTAATGAAAAGTGAAAAGGATCTCAACAAGATAGAACTGAAATCTACTTGGGCATTCACGAAGTAAAATGAAATGCTACGTTTTCTAACAAAATAAAAAACCATGTCCATGTCCTTGTGAGAAAGGCCAGGTCATATATTGGCATCATGTCCTTAGCAGACTGATAGAATGTTAACTTAATTTGGAATGGAATGGCAGGTTTCTAAAAAATGACTGATGAGTTCATCCTGCTCTTACTTGGGCTTGTGAAGAAGAGAAAGTTCTGGCTGAGCAGTCCTGAGCTGCACCTGATTCAGGAAGAGAAGCCTATTCTGCCATACTCAGGTGACCTGTGCCATGATCTGGCATAGTGCTGTGCCCAGGTTGCAGCAGAGGAGCATCTGGCATGTGTGACAATTTGGTATTTGTGCCAGAACTTCTGATGCATTATTAATAGGCATGATGTGATGAGCTTTTCTCTCAACTTCAGAAGAAGGTAATTATGAATATGGTGCATCTCATCACTTTAGAGTTACGTGCAGTCTGACCTCTGATCTTGTGGAAGGATTGTTCCTCAGGAAGGATTCTGTAATTATTTAAAGTTAAATAATCTGAAATTTTCCAGTACTGGAGGACTGTGAAAGCAAGGTATTGGTTATAAAGAAAGTGCAGGAGCCGAGGAGACCCCAGAGTTACAGCTTGCTGAACTCTTCCCAATAATTAAGGTTTTATTTTAATAGCAGGATATTATTTCCTATGTCACTGTTAACCTTAAGCACAAACTCTACCATAAGACATTGTTTCAGGAGGTGTGTTTTTCATGACTGCAGAATATCTTTTGCTGTTTGTGAGATGCAGGATCCTATCTGTTAAATCATAGACACTAGATATTTTTGCTTTTCTATTTACTGCTAAAGTTTCACGGGTAATAGTGATGAAGTGGTCCTTTCTGAGTTCTACCTACCAGTATAATAGAAGTCAGCTTACTTGTGTTGAGGAAGAGGAAATAGGCTTGAAAACTTGTGACATTACTTTCTCACATTGCCCCTCTCCAGCCATCCACTGAAGTAGTTGTATTTTGTAGTCATCGCATCACTGTTCGCTGGTGATAAGTCTGGAGGCCTTGCATATATTTGTCAACATGTCCTGGAAGCAATATTAGCAGTATATATTGAGTGTGTAGGCATTATCAGAGCAGTGCAGTACTGCTCATAGGGATCCTAGAATTTTTATTAAACCCTATAGTTTAATAGTTGGTTGCAATGCAGCATGCTGTTTGGTTTTTAAAGATTTGCTCCTTTGGAGTTCTGACAGCATTACAGGTTTTGCATTAATAATCTGTAAATATGACTCAGCAGCTGAATGGATAATTGTTTCTGGTGTCTTGGACTTACAGGTCTGTCAGCTAAAGCAATGGTTATAGATTTATTCAGGCAGCAGGAAAACAGAACAATAAGTTTTTCTCAAGACTGGATTGTCATAAACCAGATCTAACATTTAGAAGTCTGCCTCTCAATGTCTGTATATGCTCAGAAAAATGGAAGAAGATAAGAGCTTATAGTTACTACCCTGAGTTCTCCATACTGGTGGCAACTTTTTAAAGATGAGAACTTAAGTACCATTGAGGAACAAGAGAACTGTCTTCTCAAAGGACAGTCTCCTCTTTCCCTATATAATTTAAACTCATGTGCTTTTTCTCAGCATACTGTCTGAAACTCAGGAGGATGTTTACTTTCATCTTTGCACATCTAGGACTAGCTTGCAGGAGAACATGCTTCTAGGCCATTGTGTGTCTACACATCCCAAAATGAAAAACTGGATCTAATGAGACCAGATCATACTTTTAACAAAAGGTATTCTTTTATGAATTTCCCAAAGTAGCAGAGCTATTTACAAAATGCCCTAGTCTAGCACTCTCTGGCCAATGAAATTCTAGTCATGCTGTCTTTAGTAGGTGTTCTAGCCAACTGTAAAATCTTAATCACAAAGGACAGCCCTTCAAAGGGCCAGTAAATTTTGGATCAAAGATGTTGTGGAAGAGAAGTCTGTCTTTGGGTATCACTGTAACTGTTAGTGGGAGAGCTGTTCAGTTTATGGGATTGTCCTACTGTACATGTCAATACAGAGCTCTGACTCACTCAGCAGTATTTCTAATACAGTTCTGTGCAAAATACTGAGTACTAAAATTTCTGCCATGTTACCTTGGTTCTGTGAAGAATGTAAATATTAGTGATCAGGAGCAAACTAAAGAACATGTATTGAAAAACCTTATGGATACAAGGAATCTGGTTATCAGAAATCACACCATTCATATATTTTTTCAATTATGTTAATTATCAAACTGATCTATGTAGTAAGTCTCTCAATGAAGCTTTCTTCTGATTTCAAATGCCCTCTGCTGCTCTGAAAAAAGCAGGTATATTCTTCACTCCTGCAAACAGGTAAGTTGTACAATATGATGCATTCCTACGTGATCCAACAAATGTTGAAGTGAATAATGGAAGATGTTTTATAAATGTCTTTGCCATCAAGGACAGTGCAAAGTGTCCTTTTTTTACTTTATGGAAGCCAGATTGAAACTGTTTAACAACAGAAAATAAGCCTCTGGCATTAAAAAAATCTCACCTTGGTACTGAGTTAAATGATTGCTATGAGAATCTGAAACTAGATGAAATGAGCTATGTTCAGCCCCAGCTCTCCACTTGTTTTGAGTAGTTACAGATGTCAGTCTCACAATCAAGCAGTGACCAAATTCCTCTTGAAAATGCTATGTTGGTTGGGGTTTTTTTTCTGTGTGCATTTTTTTTTCATTTTGGACCTGCACTCTGTAACTAGTGAGCAGGATTTCTTGTTGCCTAAGCATTGTGGAAAAATGCTTTTCATTAGCTCAGGAAGTCCTAGAGTAGTGCTAGAGAATATCTATTGCCTGATCAACAGTCTCTGCCAAGTAAGAAATAATCCTAGGTATGTTTTTGCAGTCTCATTTTGGTCTGATTTGATTTCTGGTGCTAAGTATGTTCTCCAGTTCTGATAATGTTATGCCAAATAAAGCTTAAGATTTTATGTGACAGTGGTGTCTGCATATCAGTAGCAGATAAAATGGCTCATAGGAAATTCTTAAAGCCCTTTTCTGTTACCTTATGGATCTATAATGTCATATCCAGTCCATCACAGAAACTCCAAGTTGTCTTAGAAGTTTGTTTCTACCAAACTTCATACACCTTATCTCAGTGTTTCTGGTGATCATGTTGTGTGGGCTTCTGTGATGAGATAATTTCATGAAGACCTCTGAATTCTGCAGTCATGCCAATGTAGTTAAAATTTCAGTGAACAAGGTACCCCTGTAGTCTAGCTTTGGAGAGTACACAATCCTCCCCTCTTTTTACTTTTTAACATTTACAATAGCTTCTTTCAGATGGTTCTTGAAATTAACTATAACCCTTTCATCAGAATGTCAGTGCTTGATCTGCCCATGGTTCAGCCCCATCAGCTTGAGAATATGCTGCTGAGCAGAACCTTCAGTGTTCTGTGAATCTGTCTTTTCACTGTATTGAAGTATTTTGTGTTTGGTACCTTGATTGGATTTACATTCTGAGACTAATATAAAAATGTGTCTGATAAGAATAAGACTCATTGTTCTTTCAGTTCTGCTGAATGCATACAAGATGCACACTGATTTTTGCAACTGTTACTTGCTTTACAGTAATGGTGGTTTAGTAGTTGAACTCAACATGCCTGATGAAATTATCAGCCATCTCACCCTCCTTCCTATTAGCCAGACTGAATGTCAGCTTATT